GTCCATTTAAGCTCATGCTGGCTGCTTCAGTGACTCCATCCAGCCACCTCCTTCTCTGTCATCCCTTTCTTCTTTTGCCCTCCGTCTTTCAAAGCATGAGGCTCTTCTTCAGGGAGTCCTTCCTTCCTTCTCATTAGGTGGCCAAAGTCTTTGAGTTTCCTCTTCAGGATCTGGCCTTCTAAAGAGCAAAGAGGGTTGATCTCCTCTAGGACTGACCAGTTGGATGGCCTTGCAGTCCAAGGGACTCAATGCAGGAGTCTTCTCCAGCACCAGAGTTCAAAGGCCTCAATTCTTTGGTGCTCAGCCTTCCTTATGGTCCAACTTTCACAGCCAAACATTGCAACTGGGAAAACCGTAGCCTTGATTAAACACACTTGTGTTGGCAGGGTGACTCAAATCTGAATAATTAAACTGTCAAATACAGGTAGTCCTCGACTTATGACCACCACAAATGAGCCTAAAATTTCTGAGGCTAACCAAAACGTTTTGTAAGTGGGTTTTGCCCCATTTTACGACCTTGTCTGCTGCAGTTGCTAAGTGAACCTGGGCCCTTGGTAAGTCGGTAACGCAGATGCTAAGTGAATCTGCCTTTCCTCGCCAGAAGCCGATCACGTGACCAGCACCCCATTAGACACATGCCACCGTCATAATAAATATGAATCCGTTGCCAAGCATCCGAAATCTGATCCCGTTAACCCTGGAGATGTTGCAACGGTTTTTGTGTGTGAAAAAAATTTGCAAGGCATTTTTTTCCCCCAGTGCTGTTGCAACTTTGGACAACGCACTGTTGTAAGTTGAGGACTGCTTCTACAAACCAGTAATTGCATTGTGCCCCGAATTCGAGAGAAAAAAAAAAGATATTTCTTTTCATCCCCGGAAATGTTTACGGGTTGATTTGCTGGCCTTATTTATAAAATCCCAACCACAGCTTTGGAAAAAATAAACACCAAAACGCCACCTCTATTTTTGCTGAGAACCAGCAATTCGGAGGGAAACGTTGCAACTTCGAAAACTCCTTAGATTGTCTAAGGCCGAATGGACATTCCTGCGAGATATAAATATCAATTTGATTAGCTAGCAGGTCTTCTCAGATACACTGTCTCCTCTGCTCGGTCATTTGAGCAGTGACGTAATCTGTGGGTTTCTCTAAAAGGCTGTGGGGGTCTTAACTCAGGCCTATATAAGACGGGAGCTGAGCTCCAGCAAAGACTGCAAGGGAAGAGATCTCCTTAGATCATTGTCTTGCCTCTTCTCCCTGCTTTGAAAAGCGACCTCAAGGTGAGTTGATCCTAGCCAAGAACCATTTCTATGATGGTGATGATTTTTTCTTTTTCTTTTTTACTGTTGTTCTTCCAGTCCGGTGCAAGCCTTAGGATCTTAAGAAGCGGAACTGCATGGGAGGAAGTGGGAGTTTCAAAGACAGGAAGCCAAGAGTTTTGTGTTTTCTTGTGGTTTTTCAGCTGAGACCAAAAATCCTGAAATTGCAACCTGACGTGGAAACTATCTGACCATCTCGGACCAAGAGAGAGAAAGAGGGAGAGAGAGAGAGAGGGAGAGAGAGAGGACTAGAGAAATAAAGAGAAAGAGAGAGGGGGGTAAGAGAAAGAGAACTAAAGAGAAAACTAAAGAGAGAAAGAGAACTAAAGAGAGAAGGAGAGAAAGAGAAATAAAGAGAGAGAGCAAGAAAAAGAAAGAAATAGAGCTAAGTAAAGATAAATAGAAATAGAGAGATAAAATGAGAGAGAAAGAGAAAGGAAGAGAGAAAGACAGAGAAAGAGAAAGACAGATAAAGGGAAAGAAAGAGCAAAGATAGCAAAAAAGAAAAAGATTGAAAGAAAAAGAAGGAAAGAAGGGAGGAAGGAAGGAGAGCGAGCTAAAGCGAAACAGAGAGACAGAGAAATAGAATTAAAGAGAGAGAGAGAGGTGATAAACAGAGAGAGAAAGGGAGAGAGAAAGGAACAGAGATGAAGAGATAGTGAGATTTCATGTTCTCTTTTCTAGTCTTTGGCTGGTTTTTAAAAAATCGTAATCTATCCTCTAACTTTAGAAATGCTTCGGGAGGCTGCAAATTTTCTTTCTTTTAATTCTGCGAGTATTCTTCCTTCCAAAGAATCCAGCATCTTTGCGGGTCTCGTCCTGAAAATGTTACTAGTGTGCAATTTGATTTCAGCTTCTTCTTCTTTTTTGTACTTCCTCCCTGCCAGCTCTGAGATGGCATTCGCTGGAATACTGACTGATGCTGATATTGCAGCTGGATTGCAAAGCTGCAAAGGTAATTTATATAGACATATACCTATATACAGGGTTTTTAAAAAAAAAAAATAATCTGGTGTATTGGGGGGAAAAAGTTGTGGATTCAAATGTTGAAGAGGAGAGCCCATAAACAACCCCATCATCACCACTCCAAAATTCCCAAATTGTTTTGGGTGGTTTTAGAAAAACGACTATCTGATATTTTTGCAACGGGGACGCAGTGGCTCAGTGGCTAAGACACGGAGTTTGTCGATCAGAAAGGTCAGCAGTTCGGCAGTTCGATTCCCTAGCGCCGCATAATGGAGTGAGCTCCCGTGACTTGTCCCAGCTTCTGCCAGCCTAGCAGTTCGAAAGCACGTAAAAAATGCAAGTAGAAAAATAGGGACCACCTTTGGTGGGAAGGTAACAGCGTTCCATGCGCCTTCGGCGTTTAGCCAAGCCGGCCACATGACCACGGAGACGTCTTCGAACAGCGCTGGCTCTTTGGCTTTGAAACTGAGATGAGCACCGCCCCCTAGAGTCGGGAACATATGTGCAAGGGGAACCTTTACCTTTACTAATATTTTTGCTGGAGGTTCTGAATGTTTTATATGTTTTATAGTGTTAATGTTTTCTTTTCTAGGGAAAACAGTATTAATGTATTAAACCAGGTGCACCTCTTTTTAACGTTAACAAGTTGCTAAAGAAAATGCAGATTATGCCACTAAAAATTAGTCGTTGTAAAGCATTTTTGAGTTATTTTCTGATTCTTGGATGGAAATCCTGGTGTTTCTATCCTTAAATCTGTTGACCGTAATATTTAGGATGATTACATTTCAGCATTTCCCCACCATCTGCTCTTTGCTGGACTACAGTGCCCATCATCCCTAGCCAGCAGGGCTGATGATGGGGCAGGGGGAATTGCCAGCCAAAACATCTGGAGCATTTCATCAATTTTGGAGTGCGATCGGCTACAGCTGGACTATTCAGATAAATCCTGTTGCATCAGCAAAAAGATAACCAAAATCCTCTTCTTAAAATCCCCTTATAATGAAGCTTGGGGGAGGGGGAAACAAACTTCTGACTTTTAAAAATTGTCCAAGTTACAAATTAGCACCCAAAGAATACAGAAACAGTGTGGTTGAACTCTCCAAGTAGCAAGTACAGCACAAAGTTCCTTTAAAAATATGGATCAACCAGAAGCTTCACAAAGTCCCTTTAAAAGGAAGGGAGGAAGGGAGGAAGGGAGGGAAGGAGAGAGGGAAGGAAGGAAGGAAAGGGAGGGAGGGATGAAGAAAAGAAGGAAGGAGTAAGGGAGGGAGGGAGGAAGAAAGGAAGAAAGGAAGGTGTAAGGGACGGAGGGAGAGAGGAAGAAAGGAAAGAAAAAGAGGGAGGGAGGATGGAGGGTGGGAAGGAGTAAAGGAGGGAGGGAAGAGAAATGGAAGGAAGGAAGGAAAGGGAGGGAGGAAGAAAGGAAGAAAGGAAGGTGTAAGGGACGGAGGGAGAGAGGAAGAAAGGAAAGAAAAAGAGGGAGGGAGGATGGAGGGAGGGAAGGAGAGAGGGAAGGAAGGAAGGAAAGGGAGGGAGGAAGAAAGGAAGAAAGGAGGGAGGAAGATGGAGGAGGGAGGGGAGAAAGAGGGAGGGAAGGAAGGAAGGAGTAAGGGAAGGAGGGAGGGAAGAGAAATGGAAGGAAGGAAGGAAGGAAGGAAGGAAAGGGAGGGAGGAAGAAAGGAAGAAAGGAAGGTGTAAGGGACGGAGGGAGAGAGGAAGAAAGGAAAGAAAAAGAGGGAGGGAGGATGGAGGGTGGGAAGGAGTAAAGGAGGGAGGGAAGAGAAATGGAAGGAAGGAAGGAAAGGGAGGGAGGAAGAAAGGAAGGTGTAAGGGACAGAGGGAGAGAGGAAGAAAGGAAAGAAGAAAGAGGGAGGGAGGATGGAGGGAGGGAAGGAGAGAGGGAAGGAAGGAAGGAAAGGGAGGGAGGAAGAAAGGAAGAAAGGAGGGAGGAAGATGGAGGAGGGAGGGAAGAAAGAGGGAGGGAGGGAAGGAGGAAAGGAGGGAAGGAGGGAGGGAAGAGAAATGGAAGGAAGGAAGGAAAGGGAGGGAGGAAGAAAGGAAGAAAGGAGGGAGAAAGATGGAGGAGGGAGGGAAGAAAGAGGGAGGGAGGGAAGGAAGGAAGGAGTAAGGGAAGGAGGGAGGGAAGGAGAGAGGGAAGGAAGGAAGGAAAGGGAGGAAGAAAGGAAGAAAGGAGGGAGGGAAGAAAGAGTGAAGGAGGGAAGGAAGGAAGAGGGGAGGTATAGCGCAAAATTCTCTTAAAAATACGGATCAACCAGAAGTTTCACAAAGTCCCTTTAAAATCCCAGAACCTGGACGCCTAAAATGATGTTCTGATTTGGCACAGGGGATGAAGGACTTTTCGAGGGGGTTTAGACACCCATCCGCCCACTGATGAACCCCGCCTAGTATTGAAACGTGACCCCAGGCATTCCTTCCTCCTCTCTAAATATGGCCACGCAAAGCCCGCGTATAATCCGGACAAGAAGAGAGACAACATTTTTCCTGTATGAAAAATGGAAGCTCGGGAGGTTTCATTAGAACCGATTGCCGCAAGGAAGTTATAGCGGATCGTGTAAGAATGCCACGTTGACTGCAGTTTGATTGAAGCTTTTAACTCAACAGCTTCTTAAGGAATCGTGTTCTTGGCGTGCCACCTAAAGCTGGAGAGCTCAAAGGCTGGAAGGCTCTTGGGTTTGACACATTCTTCACCCAAGTAGTGAGGGACAGTACAAAGATGCCGTCGGGGGGATGGCAGGATGGTCCATCTTTCAGTTCTGGAGAGCATGACTGCTCTAAGCTTTACGCTTCCTGGAGTAGCTTCAGGAGATCAAAACATCTGAAGGAAGCCCTCCAGGGATGAGTGATAGGTATCCTGGAGCAGAGACGGCCCTCTGGAGAGTCACAGGGCATCTCTAAGTATCTCCTAAGGTAATGCCTTTCCGGTATAGTGGATGTTAAATTCCATACTTCCCAGTTGCAGGCAGGCATGCAGGCAGGCAGGCAGGCAGGCAGGAAGGAAGGAAGGAAGGAAGGAAGGAAGGAAGGAAGGAAGGAAGGAAGG